ACTGTTATTATACTGTTATGTGTAGTCTTGAGTGAAGTTGAACTTGATCAGTCTTTTAATAATCATGTACTATGGAGGAGCAGAGAGATTGCTCCTCTGTGTGCTCCTCTGTCTCGTGGCCCAGCTCTAGAACACAGTGAAGCACAAACACACTTGGAAGTTTCAGCAAAAATCTGGAAACTACCATCTTGCTGAAAGCCTGTGGTGGGATAAAAGGTATCTTTGAGCTCTTGTGCCTAAAATGATTTGAGTTCCTCTAGTACCTTGATATTTCTAGCCCTGCTGTTCACTGACAGCCTAAGGGGGGGAGTCTCAGTGCTGGTTTTCTTCTAAGTCAGGCACCCAGCAGCACTCACACAGTCTGGGAGCATCTGTTTGGTGTCACAAGGCCTTTCTTCTGCTGGAGAGCATTAACAACCAAGAGACAGAAAGCACAGGTTATGATTACTTTTGTGGAAGTGTAAGTGAAATATGTCAGGCAAAAGATATAGATTTAATCACTTATTGCCTTTTTGATGCTAGCAAAACACATCCCTGAAGGTAGTCACACAATCCTTCCTAGTGCTAGCAAAAGCACATATTACTATTTTTTAGAGTATATAGTGATCAGCTCTATTTACTTCAAAATATATTTTATCTATAAAATTATAGGCCTACTGGTAGAAACTCAAGAACATAATAATACTGTAAGTATCTCTGATCTTTGGTCAGCATTGATCTTTTGAATTATTAATTTTATCTTTCCTGTTACTGATTCACTGGTTTGCACATGGTGGAAAATGCAAGAAACATCTCTACCACATACGTGCTCTGTCAAAACCAAGTACAGATAGATGATTAAGTCAAATTAATACATCAGTGATTTGTAAAATGAGACTTTAAAGATTGTAAAATAATTTGAATTGCATAGGAATACATTTATCTTAAAGGACAGAACTCTGGAATATTGCAAGAAACTGTCTCCACAGTGCATTACTGAAAAATTGGATTGCTGAAATTCTATAGCAACACCTATTTTTTATTTTATGTACATAATTAAAGGAACAATGACATTTCACTGCTTGATAATTCAAGTTTTCTTCAAGAAGTGCTTTAATTATATCTTTTAAAACCGTTTTTTGATATTATAAAGTAGAAACAAGGAGAGTCTATGAGATCCCAATTCAAATGGTAGGGTACACGTGCATGTGATTTATAGTACCAGGCAATGTGAAAAATGTCACCTTTGCCTCATAGATTTCCACTGATTTCAGAATGAGGCTTTGCAGCACAAAACAATAAAAATAGAAGGAATGAGGTGTACTATTGTCTAATTTGGTATCTCTGCAACTTACACTAACTCTGTAAATGTGTCTTGGAATTACTACGAAGGCTCCTGTTAATGCATTTTTGGGTGAAAGTTGGAATGAGGTTCTGTTCCAGTGACAAGTTGATGAGACACAAGCCTAGCAATATGGCAGACATTTCCTGCACTGGATAATTCAGTAGTTACTACCCTACATTAAGCCATCCTGGTGTAGTAATTATAGAGTCAAAGTTTTATGTTAACGTACAGAATACACAGTAAAAAACAATTTATGGGATTATAGGGGAGGAAGGAAGAAGAAAAATAATAAAATAAAAAACCTGTCAAACTCAGCTAAGACTTTGCTATTTGACATTTGAATAGTTGGTTATTCCTCCCTGTCAGCAATGCACAGTTGGGTCTAACCTTTGAAAACCAATTGAATATTGAATACAATAATTCATAGGAAAAGTGAATACTGCTATTAGAAAGCTGATTCTATTCTCAGGAAATTTAATTAACCTGTGTTTCTTCTCTGGTTTGTGTCTTTGTTTCCTTTTGATTCTTCAGATTCATTCAAGATTTAGATCAAGTTATTAAAAAGCTCAAGATAGACCAGATCCCTGATGGTAGAATCAAAGCTTAGCCTCAAAAAGTAGAGTCTACAGCTGGGAAGCTGCACCCCATGAGCATTTTTTGAAACAAAACTTTATGGGTGTCCAAGAGGGTTCCCAAGAAATGGAGGCCAGCAAAGGAATGGCTACTTTCCACTGTCATAGCATAGTTGTTACCTATTTTTATCTCAGTTTCAAAGTTTCAAGAACTGAATGCTTGCAGAGATTCAGGAGGTTACTGTAATGTGTTATTAATGTTTGTAAATTGCTTTCACAACCTTTAATGAAAGTGAAAAGGACAGTGTTGTTGCAAAGTATTTTTCATTGATTGCCTGGAGATTCCCAGCAGTCAGTCTCCTATTTCACTATGGCAATATTAATAGAGGATCTCTGATATAAGAATCAGTAGAAATGAATGTTTAAGGTCCTCAGAGCAAACCATCCACTGTATGGAGGAGAAACCTAAAGCATTTTAAATGGTACTATATCTAAAATAGAAACTGCAGAGCATGCTTTATCTTTTATAGAATGTAAATCCACACACATTTTGGAAGTATGAATACCCCAAAGATCCATTACACAAATTATCCAGGAGACTACATTTCATCTTGAAGGTCTGTAATACTATTCAGACCTGGCAATAGCTTTGTCAAGTCATGTGTTGACATCTATTGCATCTGCCTAAGGACTTGACTGGAAAACCCTTCCCTGATTGTATGAGCTAACAGGAATTTATAAAATCACACCATGAGACATGGTTTATGAGGGTGATGTGTAATCACACACCTACTACACTTAATAGCACAGATAAATCAAATTCTTTCATCCATAGCATAAGGTTCGTTACTGTTCAATAAGAACAATAAGCTGCCCATAAGCAAAACAGATGTTTTCCTGTGTTTACAGTTGAAACTGCAAATATAATAAACCATAAAGCACAATGCCTGCCAAACACACGTACAATAATGGGTTTTGATTTTAAACACAAAAGCTATAACCTGAAAGCAAATGTTCCTGGTGCTGCAGGACTGAGCCCCTGGTTTTCATATCAAATATCAGCATCTTACAGAGAGACAGGATATATGTACCATGAGGAAGAGGGAGATGTTTGGAGCCCACAAGGAGTAAAACAGTCTGATTTCCTGAGCAGAACCCTGGGACAATTCCATGAATTGACAAATTTTCAGTGTGGATCTGCCCATGTTTGAAAGGTGCAGGTTCTGACTAAAATACCTCTCCAAACTTGGTGCAATAATTAGGGTCTCTTTCTGTTACAGAATCTTTTAGAGAAGCTTACGAAGTGGCCTTCCCTTAGTCAGGACATAATAAATATCTTTTTTTTTTTTTCCTCTTTTCTTGAAAAGCCAAGTATTTCACCAGAGTGTTAGGAAGAATTTTCTTTCAAATATATCTTCCTGTAAAAGCCAGTCATGGGGTTAAAAAATCCCTTATGTCAGTGAACAGGTTCAATATTACTGGGGAATAGAGACATGGAGATATAGCACTCACCCATCATTGTAATCATATAAGTCCTGTTTCTGTTTGAAACCACAACAAAATTTTGACTGTTTTCAGGAACAGTAGGGGTCCCAATTAAGCTGCATTCATAGTTAGCACATTTCTCTTTTTAGGCACCATTTCAGTGTAAGATTTTTTTTTTTCATATCACCCACACTCATCATAAAGTAATTATACTTATAAGAAGCTTATAATTACTAGGATTATCCATTTTAAATTGTTAATGTACCTCACTGACAGGGTTTTGAGGAAGCAGGAAGGTTTGGAAGGTAAAAAAGTAATTTTTGTTAAACAAGAAAACATAGTAGAATCTTTAGGACATTAAATTTCAGATGTTTATCTATTGAAAGAATAGCTTTGAAATGCAATTATAAGGAATTGAAGAGCCTACAGACAAATCAAGTGTGTTTTTTTCAAATCCTATTAAGAGTAGTTAATTTAAAGCTTAATTAATTTTTTTTCAAGATGGACCCTGTTGGTAACTAATTCTATTTAGCAGACCATCTTGCTTCCACCAGTAATGGTAGGAAGTAATTTTTAGTAAATTACATTTTTTGTTTTGTTTCATCATCTTTTTCAGCCTCAGGGACCAACAATTTTAGCCAAAATGATACTCTAGATGGGCAACCTACATGACAACTGTGCTGTAAGTCACAGTTATAGCAAGACAAGATTCAGAAACCTGGAAGTTTTTTGTCAAAGCAACACATGTGCTTTAAAAACACACCTCCTGAACCCAGTTTTACTTATTACTGCCAAGCACCACCGGCTATTTTCTGCGTGGCCTATGGTCATCCACGGTCTGATGAGTCAACGTTTTTTTCCCAGTTTCTTAATAACACTCTTTACGCAGCTTGAAAAGGAAAATTATAAATAGTATCCTTGGGAGAGACTCTAGAGAAGATGCATGCTTAACACTCCCAAACCCAATACACGATATTTTATGTTGAAAAGGTGAGAAGCCAACAAGCTTTCTAGCCTGCTGGTTTTCACATGAGGGCCTCGAGGGGAAAGGATATTAAGAAGCCACTGAAGCTGGCCCACACCAGCTAATATTAGTTTGAACCCGACCCTTGGAAGGAATCTGAGAATGCAGAAAAAAATGAGTGAACAGAAAAAACACAAGAGTTGAGATCCCAATGTTCCCTCCTGGTGAATGTCAGCAGTGGCTGCAGAAGTGGCCACCGCCGGCTACTCTTTTACAACTCAGAAAAGGCTTATATTTTTCACACCACATCTGCCTTACATCCTTATCCTGTCAAGGCTAAATCACTTTACTACTCTTCTCTGTCACCTCTAGTTATGCCTGCCTTGTTATATAGTATTGCAATCCTAAGTGACATGGCAAAAGTCAGTTCCAGGTATTTTGGAAAGAACTCTTATAAACAACAAAGGACAGTATAAGCTCTAAGTGCTGAAGCAGGTTAAGTCATTTAATACAGTAGTCATTATGCATATTTGAGGAACATAAATCTAGACTGACCCAGAAGTGAATTTTAAATAACTTCAGAAATGTTAATTATATTCAAAGGTTCAACATCAAGATGTCAAACAATCTTACAAAGGACTCCATAGTACAAAGAGGTACATTTAGCAACCATTCCTATCAGTCATTTGTGTCCCGTGGCTACATCAAAGGTAAATCTCAAACACAAAACAACCAAACCCTCAGTGTATGCAAGAACATAATGGGAGTTACAGATCCTTTAGAATTAAGATGCCTAACATGAACACATTTAGTGCTCGACAAATAATTTTTTAATGCCATTGATCCTGGATTTTTTTTTTTAAAGCTACTTTCCATTCCTTTGACAGATGTGCTATGCTGCATTTCATTACTTTTTTCTCCTTACCTCGTTTTTCTTTTCCTTTAGATAAGTGATGAGGTTTTCGGAAAAGATTAAGTACTGGCAGGCAAAGCAATGGTCCAAACACAGTTTTAATTGGATCCTCAAATCCTGTGGAAAAAAAAAAAAAGAAGAAATTAAACCATTAATAATTTAATTTTACTAGTAGACAGACTAAGTTCACATATCCTGTTTTAGGCAGATTTCACCATATTTCTTCATATTTGATTTCAACAGGTATACAATCTGTTAGTCAAATCATGTTGGAAATAAAATTATTTACAGAAGTTTTCAGGAGAGCTAACAAGTGCTGATGGGGGTAGTTCTCATCTAGAGAAGTAGTCCACTGATGACTAGTAATGTCAGAATTTACCTATTTAAAGCAAATTTCTTGATTTAAATCTTCCTATTGTTTTATAACATTCAAAATACTGTTTTCTTATGCTGCTCTTTGCCCCATGAATGGATGGCAGAGTAGAGTCATTACACAGCAATAGGACTCAAAGGCAACCAAGGCATAAGGCTAAACAATTCACTCTTCAAGACAAAAGATAGTGAAAGAAATTTCATTTCTCTCAAGATTGGCAAAGGCTCTAAACATAAAAACACCCATAAAAGTAAACCATAAAAGCAATTTTTTAAAGAGTCTGAGGTTATATGTTGTAGTACTGGGCAAGTAACAACCAAATAATCAACAAAATAAAACAACCCAGAGTATGAGAAAATTCCTTATTTCTGAAAATAAGATATTTTTGTGTTAGAAATCTTTATTCAGACATACAGAACAAAAAAACCTCAGATATATCATGGAATATCACTAAATATTTTTTCTGAGAATTATACTTTGTATTTTCAAGGACCATAGGCCCATATTCTTATATAGTAAGTGACATGAATACAATGGACCAGCAATAACTTCTACAAGTAACAAATCTGACCAACAGAGCTGTAATTTCCCAAGCTGTCAAAGCTGCATTGGGGAAGAGGTGGTTGTGCTTCATTTTCTTACTGTTATTGCACAAGTATATGTAAGTTTAATTTGGGATTACAGCAAAATTTATGTACCATGACCTCAGTCAAACAAGGCCACTGAATGCAATAGACATTCTGTAGTAGGCAACTAGTTATCGTTAAGTGTGTTCAATTACATACATTGCTATTATTTAATGTGTCAAATATATCTAAAGCCTATGTAGAAGGTGGCATTTGGAACTGCTGTAAGACCATTGATTTACAAAAGCTCCTTTCATAATGATAGTCTGTGTATGGGTATTGAATGCATTTTTTATTGTTTGTTAATTGAGGGCTGCAGGATGCTATGGGGGTTTTGAAGACTAAACTGAAGTCTATGACAGTAATATTTTTCATTAAACTTTCTTTTCTGGAGAACAAAATGTCTCCCCAAGCATTGCATGAGAAGCATTTCTTGGGATAAAGAGGGCATTTCCAGTCAAGATGAGGATAATAAAACAAATGGAAAACCCAAGTTCAAGACTCTGGTCTGGCTATCATTGGAGAAACCTTAAAGTCTACTACCCAAATAACATGTTTGGTTTAAAATTTTACTCTTGACCTAATCCACATAACTACAGGCAACAGCAAAGCTTTGGTTCAGTCAGATTATCTCATACATAGTTTCCCTTCCAGAACCGATTAGCTAAAGGCACAACAATGTGTATGTGACAGTCTGCTCGCAAAGCTGCCGGAGATGGAAAGCAGAGGCAGTTTCTTTGCATGGCAGAGAGACTGTGTCAACAAAACCTGCAACGACAAGATTAGATCTCTGTGCATGGCACCCATCTGCCCCATTATGCTCTCCCAGAAGCCAGGATCTCGCAGCACAGACGCGCAGAGAGGCTGTGCCAGCGCCATGGCAGACCGGGCACAGCTGATGAGGCACAGCCAGCAACCTTCTCACTCCAGCCAAGCTGAGCAGAGTCATTCAGATCAGTGTCTGCAACGTGCTCCCCACTGTGCTTTCTGTGTTAGCAAGAGCCTTTCCACTGCCCACCTATGTCCAGCTTCCCTCAGCCTCAGAAGGGACAGATGATATCACATTATTAGGTGCAGATGATTGAGGTACTAGACGAAGGTTAGCATAAGTACTGAGAATTTTGATTTACACAGAGCTGGAACCCAAAGTGGGGGCAGGCTACACTCTCAGCTACACTCTCAGCTAAAGTCCTAACATACAGGTGAGGACATACTTCTGGATTTCTAATGTCCCACAGACAGAAAGCAACAATGCTCAACACTGGCAATCCAGCCTCAGAAGGTTTTGTAGGTTTACAGGTAATTCAGAAATGAGCTCGAGGGGAAAACAGGCTATTTCTTCCTGAAAACAATTCTTGATCCAAATATCAGTCTTTCATTTACTTCTCCATCAATAAATAATTTTAAATACAACTACTGGGCTTCTCTGTCCACATTTCAAAAATGTCTTGCAAACTGCAAGTTCTCCCAGAAGCACTGCCCTTTTACCACAGAGAAACATTTAAGTCAATCACTCAACACACAGCCACTCAAAGACATTACTTTTTTCTTAGGAGGCAATTTTAGACCCTGGTTTTCTAAATGAGACCCAGCTACTGAGTCCTTGCCTAATATTTATTTGCCTACGAAGCTATAAAAATAACAAATATAAAAATAACAACAATCACAGTAGGCATCATTACAGTTTTGTAGCAAAACCTGCCAGAAACAAAAAAGGACAATACCTTATCCTGAGCAGTAAAAGCAAGACAGCCTAGCTGTTAGGCCCCCTCTGAAAATGTGTGAACCCTTGGGACATACAGATTTTGTGCTGTGAGACAAAAGAACATTCTGGTTGGGATCCATGAGAAAAATAATTGAAAAAATATTAAAATTGTTGAATAGCTTGACTATAAATACACTAATTGATGCTTCAGGCATAGAAAATTCAATAAAGTGATGAAGCATACAGTGAAAGAAATCCCAGTATGTCTTACATTAATTTACATTTACAGAAATGTCACAAACATAATTTTGAGGGGAACTAACTCTGTCTAACTAAAAAACTCAGTATTTATTTAGAAAGTGACTGCACTGCTTGATTTACTGCCAGCATATTCTTTGCTGCTTTAGCTATTTTTTCTCAACTACCAAGGTTTTGAACCTTTGAAAGAGTGCCACACCTCACCAAATTGCAATTTACTGTGATATTAGGTTTCTTATAAGGTTACCTTACCATGATGAATATGAGCTTGGAGTGGAACAAGAGAAGAAACGACAGCATCTCCTCCACAGCATGTGTTTGTGTAAGAACATACTTGAAAGAAAGAGCAGGCGAGAGCTTGACATGTCCTTGGGGTATGATTAAAAGCTTGTGAAATAAAATAATTCAAAGATGACAGCTCTGACTTTAACCACCACTGGGGACAAGAGATCTTTCACTTAAGACATGCCAGTCATTCACAAGTTTAGCTGAATTCATACAGAAGATGTATTTTAAAACCTGGTGATTTGGATACAACCCCCAAACCAGAGAGACCCTGTGGGTGACATAAAAATGCCACAGAGTTTAAAAAGAGTTTCATTTTTTCATAATAATATTAGCCAGAGCTTAAAAATGTACCCACTTTAAATTGATAGCATTGAATGATAAAGAAAACTACAATTTAGGAGAAAAAAAAATCTATGAGAGAGATAAAACCACATGTAGGATATGATTCCTTATTAAAGAAGCATTATCCCCCAGGATGTTTCCTATCTAATGCCACATCTGGGCCACACTAGGCTGGCTCTGTAGCAAAGGTCTGAGTTTATTCAAAGCTAATGAGATTCTGAACCTAGACTATTTTACGTTTTATGTAATGCTGCCTTTTAAGTGGATTTATTTCATTAAATATATTCTTTCCTAAGCTTCAGACTCTGTTCCACTTTTTTGAATTCCCTTTATTTCCTTTTTGACAGTTCTACAGTTAACCATCTATAGAGATACAAAGCCAGCTGTAGCTCACATTATAATATAAATATATATATATAAACACAATTTGCATGAGCTCTCACCTCATCCAAAGTTATCTTCAACAATTTCTTTTTAAAAAACAATGAGATTGACCCAAGCACGAATCCACAGTATGTGAAACACGAAATATCTTAAATGGAGAACTCATGAAGTCTGGTCCAGAGCCTAATTTTTAATTTTTCATGGATACTTTGGCATCCAAGTAGTTCAGGACTAAATTTTCCAAGTACAAACAGCGATCATGTTTCTCTCCACTGTGCAATAGATGTTGTCTAATAAAGAGTGCACACACTGCAGCCTCAGCAGGGAGAGATATAAAGGTTCTGATAGGGGCTCACCACCCAACACTCGCTGGTTGACAACTAAATACATCAAAGACTGACATGTTGTAGGAACTCAGTGTCTTTGTGAGCTCTCTCTCTCCATGAAATGTATTTCAAAATAGTTTCAAAGTTACCAGGGAAAAAACAGGCAGATGTAATGCATAAACCCTTTTCCTTAGCAAAAAAGACCAAAATTATATTGCATCTGACACATTCCCTGACTAAAATGAATAAACTAAAAGACCAATCAAACCAGGAAATTGCATTTAAACTGCGTGTTAGAATCTGATTAGTTGTGAGAGTGACGTCCTAATCCACTTAATTAAGTTTAGGTGTTGACTTCAGCACAGTTAAGAGTTTTTGCCCTGGTTTCATATTCTTGAATATTCAGAGGATAGAATTGCACCAACTTAGAAAGAGAACATCAGTGGGATTCTAAATCATTCAAACTCTTTTGAAAAAATTCCACCTTTTAGAGAGTCATCCTTGCTCTCAGTTGCTGAGAACAAGAAGGAGACACTCTTTCCTTTCGGAGGAGAGGGCTGATGTTCAGATTATTTAAGTGCTCACTGTTAATGCAAATGCAGCTCAGTTATCAATATTGAGCTGCTATGAATAAATAATTCTTACTGCTCCTCAATATTTATTTTGTGATAATACTTCAATTTGAATCCAAAGTCCCAGATGATTTACCTGAACATTTAAAAAGCTATATCTTCCAATAACAAATTCTACAATTGATATGATTCAGTCTCAGAGTGACATTTAGTGTTTCTTTAAGGCAAATTCTAGCTTCAATT